TAATTATCGCTTCGAGAATAAAAATCATTATTTTGACAATAAAATTATTTTAATCATTATAATCTTTGATTTGAAAATCTGTTATTTTCTATTCAATATTGTTTTCTTCCCATTCGAGAAAATTAATCTTAGATGACAAGCGTATATTTTTCTTGATTGAATTATATAAAATTGCTTTATGCAAGCAAGGTTTTCTTTCTTTAACGTAATATATGTCTTTTTATCGATGGTATTTTAATACAGCGGTTATTAAAATATTTTTATCTTTTATGAATTCATATGTAAAGTCGAATATATTATTGCTACCAACGCAGAAACTATAAAATAGTTGGAAAATACAATTGGCATTAATTATCAAGAATTTTCCTCGTTCTACCTGCGCTTCTAGGGTAACGAATTGAAAATCGTAACACGCTGCGCTGACGTCAAGGTAGAAGACGAAGAGCGGGCGCTTGTTTTCCCGTTGGAACGATCTGTATTTCTCGCATTAATTATTGCTCCAAGTCGATCGCCTTTACACCGGTATTACACGCGGAACAATCGCGAGTCACGACATTTCCTTATGGAACCCATAAAATATTGCACGGCAGTTTGTTATAATACCTCGTACCTTTCCTGCGTCCTTCTTCCTCGATTTACCGTCACCTTCGTTCCCCTGCCCACATCAGCGATTCTCATTCCATCTCTTTAACACCGATTTCAATTAAATTATGAAAACTTATTTCTTTTTAATTAGCACAAGTTTTTCTTCAATTGATTGTAGATAATATAATTACTGTAAATTACATAAAAAATTGCGAATTTTTGTAGAAATATACATACAATACTATTTTGTAAATCTAAAACAAACTTGGTGACATCTGAACAGCTTTCTACACAGGAAAAAAGAATATTCTTCTTCTTTTGAACATATGTTTAGTTTCAACGTGAAAATTTTGAAATGAGATTATAATGCGTTAAAGAAAGAAAAACTTATCAAATGAAGCAACTTTTTGTAATTCAATCAAGAAAAACATATGCTCATTATTTAAGAATAATTTTCTTGAACGAAGAGGAAACAATATATTGGATAGAAAATGCTATATTTTTAAATCGAATTTTAACGATTATTTAATGGCTATTTAACCTGCACGTGTACACAAACAGCATTACAGAACGACTCATATGTTTCGACAAACTGTTCTTGTCTGGCATATGCAGATAAACCGTATAAGCCTGGGGGCGTTTTCCAGGGGCGGCTTTGATTCCTGAGGGACTGATACTCATACAAAGAACTTTACTCCGAAGCATTGACGTATAGAAATAGTTGTAAGAGTATATTTATCTGTCTCTAATTTAATTTTTTAATTAAATTATTAATTATTGCTACGAAACATTTCTCTGAGATCGAAATATGCATCTGTCGAGAAAAGAATTTATTTTACTAATCAGAAGGACATTTTGGAGAAACAAAAATTTTTCTACATTGTTTAATCAATTATTGGCGTCAAATAATTCTTTACGTTAAATACAAAATCTATTTTGAAACTTTGATAGCTATATATTGTATTATACATATATATATGTATATATCAGATGTGCGTGTTTGCATATTAAATTCGCTCATCTCGTTTAAAATAATTGAAAAAAATATTACAAAGTGTTTCTTTATCAAGAAAAGATTAATACACCGAGTCATTTAGTATTATATATAAATACTATTTGTCATATTAAATAAAACATTTGATTCTCAGAATTTTATTCATAATAGTAAACTCAGAAAGTTTTACTATTAAGAAACTAAACGCAAGAAACTTTCTATATTTCGCAAAAAGGATGGCAACCTACAAAATCCTTAGCTTCTGGCGGCAATGCAATCCACGTGCTCATTAACATGAACTGCGAGCAACGTTCACAAAGTGGGCCGACTTGACGATGAGGTACATTTTATGCACGATAAAACCCGCATGGGGCGCATTCGCACTCCCTGGTGCGACACTACGCAGTGCGGCGTTTCCGCCTCGGCACGTATGGGAAAATAACTGCCTTTTTACCTCTTATCACTGGCCGCGACCCCACGGAGGGCGGGCGACGCAAGCTGCTCAGCTGTCTACCCCTCGAAGAAAGCCACGTTTGAAGAGGATTCAAGTACAACCCCCACAACCAGGTGTCGGAATAAACCGTCGAGACGCCAAGGCAATCGTCGCGTTGGTTTTATCGATAGATAAGATAAATATGTGCAAGTTATTTCCAAAATTCTTCAGCGATTTCTCATTTTCCATCCCAAGAAGCTCTTCCCGAATATCGTCTCTAATATTAAAATACAATATATGCACTTTTAGCACATATAAGTCAAAACGTAATGCGAACGAAAGGTATCAATCTTTATCAGTTTGGGAGACTCTGATACATCAGCCCTGATGATGCAAACTGCAATGTTTGCGAAACGTCGGCACCACAGACGCGGCAACCATCCGGAAGCCATTACGACTGAAGAAGACAGCAGCCGCGAAAGTTTGAAAGCCAAGTATCAATCTTTAGTTCACACATAGTTGATTTATTCAAACGTAACGAATTCGCTTTAGAGTAGTGAGAAATTTTAACTATAAACTAACAGGAAATGAAGATTCAGGGTTTCGCCAGCAATAATTAACAACATCAAATCTGGTTGGTCGTATCTGGCAATTTTTATGTTTAAGAATCGCTACGTTTCGACCATGGTTTTTGGTCCTTTTCAAGCGATCTAACTGAGAAAGTATGTGGATTTTGGTGATGTAAAAAAGATTGTTATATTCACATAATGCTATAAAAATTTCGTGTCAAAGTTTGCTAGCCGAGAACATTGCTAGAGAGATGACGGAGTATGACACGCGAATCCACATATAACATGACTTTCTCAGTTAGATCGCTTGAAAAGGGCCAAGACCCACGGTCGAAACGTAGCGATTCTTAAACATAAAAATTGCCAGATACGGTCAACTAAATTTGATGTTGTTAAACTATAAATTTTCAAACACAATCTGCTATAAATGGTTACGCAACGTAACGGGCATTATCATTGTATTGACCCGATTAGAAAATGTTCTGTAACGTCATTATTGTCAGGAGTGAAACAAGGGAGAAAAAGTATACCGTATCGTGGGAGGAGAGAGTACGAGTCTACATCGCGCCAAGGTGCAGAGAAGGGGTGTTAACGATGCGGAGAAGTTTATCTCCGCGTCCTTGGCTAATCTCTGCCGCAACAGATTACCCTATCAACAACGCGAGTTATACTACGCTCTCGTACTACTCGACACGCGTGATTATCATTCTAACGTAAGGACCATATCGCTGCTAAAATGAGTAAGAAAGTTCGACATCCTTACGCGGCGTCTACGGTCTCTTATCTTCAACCTTTTAAATTTTTATCATAGACGTGCGCTCAAGAGAGTGTCATCCACAAGTTATATATCAAAATGTTTCTGTCACATGACATAATTTTGTGGTCGACGAAAATACTGTATTGAAATCGTTTCGACAGTCAACCTTTGATCTGAAATAGATTCTTTCCGGAATTATTAAGAGTACAGTCACTTTTCACTTTATCTGAACTTGTCATATGTAATTTGTAGAAAAAACATTAAAAATTAAGAAATTACGTCGTAATGTATGATAACATAAATCTGTCCGTTTTCAGTACGGAAAAGATTGATGAGACAATCGATTGAAACATTGGGCAACATCGAGAGAATGTACGAGTGACAAGTTCACTTAATTCTTTACACGTAATATACTTTTCTTCTTTCCTCATTTTCGTTCTCTCTTTCTGCTCTGCATGCGCACACGTTTATGCCTATGGAAGACGCATAAATGTCTGCATGCATTTGTAGGAATCGTAAATGCGTGGCGATGCGTTACATCGGGGCCGCGAAGCGCTATCGCGCGCAACGACCGCCGAGCGATACCTTATCTGAACCAGTTGCAAGTCGCACGGCAGTGGCTCTCAATAAGCTTATTGGTAGCTCTTCTTTTTCTTTTCGTCAGTGCGCAACAGTAACTAGCGCGATGTTCATTTTCCGTAAAAATGTTGAGGACTTTAGCTTTGATTTAACAAGTTACTTTTTAATTTACAATTCAGCAAGAAGGAGGCATTCGAGTTCTTTACCAATAAAGACAGAAAAAAAGTGCTGCACGATACTTAAAATTTGTTGAAAAGAATTCTGAAAAAGAAATATATCGGCATTTTCAGGGATGCCGTGAATCGATACTCCTGTTTAGGTGGTATACATTTAGTACACACTTATTCAAGTACAGGAATCTGTTCGTCGTGCGTAAGCCACGCGAGAAAAATATGACTAATCACGATCGGAATGTCTTGATTAGAAATGATCAACGTTGAAGCTTCCGGAAAGGGGTCGAGGAATTGTTTCGCGAGAAATAACTTTTACTTATAGACACACGTGTGATCCGTAAAGGATCGTAGGGTAAAACAAAGCGCACGGATCAGTATGGAGAATTGTATCGGGTGTCGGAACCCGAACAGATTCTTATCTGAACAATAATAACCCGACATCTACAAGCGTCCTATTAAGTTCACTGCCGTATTATGCAGTCTACGATCGATCGGCTGCGTGAAATTTTTCGTCAGACCAACGAAAAAATACTTTTATTTACTCTCTAAAAGTCAATCGATGTATTAGCTCTGAAAACAGCGAGTGGTCACTAATTCAATTATAAGTACACTACTGAAACTCACAGTGGTACTTGTTCTTATAACTGTAAATCAACGATTATTCGCGCTGTTAGAGTAGATTTAGCGGTGGAATTGTAAAGAACGTCTCAAAACTATCGTATCTTTTCTTTAGAGATTTTTTAATAAAGTTGGAATCAATTCTTTATTGAAACAAATGTACCGTGATTTTTATTTATTACTAGAAGAATACATTACGCGCGCGTCATTTATTTTTAGAGGAGGTTGTTCCATTCTCTTGATAAGTTAGTTAACGGTTAAATCATTTTTTAAATTAATAATTAATATATTGTAATAATTTTTTATATTACCTTTCACCTTCATCCATTCTTACTGAAATGGTAGATATCATTCCAATGCATTCTGATTATTATTTCAAACTGTCTCTCGTGTTTTATTTTTTACTTTTACTGTCTCCTTCACTCAATTCGACGTTTAACTTTAACTTTGGACCTAGCATCGTGGACACAAACCTTTAGAAAGGAATTAAGTAGCCTGGTAACTAAATCTAAAAGGTGTTACGTAACTGTAGACGTACACGTAAAAGCATGAAGCTGCCTGAGGTCGACTAATAAGAATATATCTCTTTCACGTGACTTGTCAGACAACGAACACGAACTAAACTCGGTTGAGAAAATTTTAAGACTTAACCCATTGGCATGCAATAAATATATCGACGTGATATATTTACCGGCAACCTACACGATTATAAAAAACGCGACGACTTTTCGCAACCGCCATAGTCGTCTAATTACGAGACAACTGACTCGCTTTATTTTACTCAACTCGTAGATGACGATGAAGTATTAAGCGACATGTCACGGAGGATTTTTTCGCGCTTGAATTATAAAAATATGCATCGACGTGAATTTTCCGCACGTTCTGCTATTCGTAACTCGAAGATGCGCACTGCGCGGAATTGGCGTGTCGATCGCGGGTGTTAATAACCCGCGCAGCTCAAGTGAGGTTTCGTCAGGCACCTCGTGTAGGTATATCGTGAGATAAGTCCTATCGCTCGCGGCTGGTACACCGGGGCCCGATAGAGAGCCACCCACCATTTCGCGCGGCACGCCAGCAAGATAAAACCCAGTGCACAAACCAGATATCGTCGGCATTTAGTCGTTCTCTGTGTGTGCATTATCACGCACTCGACATTTCGTGAAATCAGTCACCGCGAGAGCCGCAGACGATACAGTACGCCGTGCATTGGACCGTTCAATTTAATACAGTGTGCTCGCTCGTTCTCCTACCTCCTCCTGCTCTACGATTTGTATTACACGGAGAATACGGAGCGAAACCGTCGCGGAAGTCTGTCCTCGAGGAGGCCGACTTCCGGTCGAAACGAAGACGCGATCCCGAGGTGGGAGAAGTGCACGGGGAAACGTATAGTGGCACGTAGACGATGCTCGAGCGCGCTCGGGCAATTGCGAAAGCAAGAAACGTGTCTCTGAATTGTGTCACCGATTTACTTCCCGGTGAAATTGCCAAGTCTGTGAAGCTACGTGTGGACTTTACTTGAGATGGTGCAAAACAAAGCCGTGAAAAATTCCTCTTTCTTTCTCCTTTTCTTTCCGCCTAATAACTAAATCAAAATATGATGTAATGAAAATATTGGAAATCTAATTCCTCGGTGTCCGAGATAAAGATACGCTTTCGTTATTAATATCGTTAATATTATTCCTATCAATAGATAAGAAAAAGAAATGCAACGTTGCAGCGGAAATGAACCGACGGAAATCATGCCGCATCGAAGGAAGTGGTTCGCTAAGCAAAACATATCTACCGGACGAAATATTTTCACTAAAGATCAAGTAGACATGGTTGTTTCTTTCCTGCGCTATCGTCTTGGTCTGTATTACGAAATTGTCAGCTTATCGTCATTCGTTCTGCTAATTAAAGTAAATTATTTTGCTGTCGTATGAGGAACAAATAACGCGCAAGTGAGATATCTTCCATCTGTCTAGTACGTAATACAAAATGTTTAAATTAAATCTATTTAAAAAATTACCTCCAACTTTGAAATTAGAAGAAATAAATAAATTAACCACGCCTTGCTAATTATAATGACATCTTTGTCAAATAAAAACAATATTATTTATTATTTATCATTTTCATTGCAATTCGAATCCACGGATTTACAAGTCCTATTGTTTCCAGTGTGTTTGCGCGTGGATTAACCGTTAAACATTCAATTACGAAAGTGCAAGTTGTTAAATATAGCTACGTTAACCTTGAGATAAAAACATTGCATATTTCGCATTTACTTACAAGCTTCAATGTGAATTATTTTGCATCTCGAATCGTTCTGTTCTCAGGAAGGATTAATGGAAATGACCGAAAAAAAAACAATTAAATGTTTAATGAATTTAGAATATAGCAACAAGTGGTATTTTGAAATAATCATACGACAATAGCGTTCCGCGTTACTTTCTGGCGTTACACCCGGTGTACTGGCTTATACACAACCCATGTTCGTTGTATCGTTGAATGCGACGGTCCACGACGTTTTGTACTTGCACGAACTCTGCACATAGAGTCGTTTCAGGAAACTCACGAAACAATGCCTCCCGGTGGCCCTAAATGACGTAACAGCGACGACTACCTGCGGTGTGGAAAACTTTCGTCGCGACACAAGTCCTTCGGTCCTCTTTCTCTCTCTTCCCTATTAACATACCTCTATACTCTCCCTAGCAAGTACTTTCGGATTCTGTTATCAACTATCGACTGCTGTATTAATTTACTTCAACCTTATTAGTTTCTACATATCAAAATTGAAAAATTTGTTTACCAAAATGTCTATATACACCCATCCCTTGATTTGCGTGGTACTTAATATTCACGGATTTTTTTACACGGTAAAAACCTTCCATTTACACGGAAAATGAAACTAAATCGAGTAGGAATAAGCAACAGAAGCATAACCTTGTTGATACGTGCAATATAGTATATGTACTTTTACATATTTCTTTTAGGCAGACTTATACCCGCGGATTCTCACCAGCGTATGTAAATCCAGAGATGAATGTATAAACTAAATATATGATAAAGATGGAGATTAGAAGTAAATCTAATTATTAAGTTTTCCATATCTTAGTCTTATTGTATATGAATAATTTTAGAACGCGCGCGATTCGGGAATAAACTTTTTATTTCTTGAACGTCCACATAAACAAAGAAGAAAATATAATATTCCACGTTGTCGAAAAACCTATTATGTAAAAAGGAAATATTTACTACATCTTTATACCATTTAGAAAATCAAATCTATTGAAACTAATTCTTTTACTTTAAAAGATTTGCAAATATTTCTACATTACATTCTGTATGGTTACTTATAATTGTTAGTATTGATTCAAAAGTATTATTATCAAAATAAAGAATGGAAAAATAAGCTAGCATGAATTATTCTTGACTCGCTATTCATCACCGAGCTTCAACCATATTAGCTGTACTTACGTAACAAGCAACGTCGAATTTCCATATGGTAAATCGACTCCTTGAACTAAATGACGCAGCTCTACCCGAGCTGTCAAAATATTAATTAACTCTGCATAAAGTGTCAATCGTTTTTATATTCTTTTCTATAAAATTCTATTTCAATCTAATGACATAGTTCCATTTTTCTGACCTTTAAAATATTAGAATACAGAAAAAAAATAGATATCTTATCGGACTTTGTACTTAAATACAAGTGCTAACAATTTGAAGGTTTTCCAAGTTATTATCTTTCAAACAATACTATTTAAACACAGTGTATTTGAGAAATGTCCCCAAAAACTCTGTAACCTCTCAAAACCAATACAAAAGCTGCATCGCAGAGCCGAGGCGACGGAGTGCCTCTTTCTCCCTTTCTATTCTACATAACACGTAATATTACAGTAATATGACAGTAAATAAAAAATTTACATTTCCAATGTAATATTACAATAAAATATATCGGAAATATTACTGTAATATTACTATGATAATCACAATAATATTACTGCAATGTATCACTATAATGCCTGCGTTCGTTTTCTCCCACCGGGAGCATAAACTATACTGAAAGTCTATAATTTACGTAACGTAAACTATAGAGTTTCAGTATAGTTTATGCTCCCGGTGGGAGAAAACGAACGCAAGCTATATCATTGTAATATTGCAAGGAATTAGATTAGGGTAAACCCGGGTAATATGAAGGTCCTACGGAAAAGATGGGCACAGACTGTATAATCTCTCCAATAATTGTTTAATAGTGCGTTTTTGTAGTCATTCTCAAAGATGGTTATCGTCATATTACAAAAATTACCCTTATAATAATTTATGCATACTTCAATGCAATATATGTACATTGGAAAGTGCTAAATAGCAACGTGACATTAAATGACGTCTTCATCTTAATGACGTAATAAAACGTAATAAGACGTTATTAAAAAGTCATTTGACATCATTTTGCGCTACTTTAGATCTGATATATTGTAGCAATATCAATATATACAGGGTGTTGAAAAAAAAGGGTTACATATTTTGATAAGAGGTAGTATTGGTCAAAACAAGAAGAAAAGTCTAATTAACATGGGTCCTAAGACTAATATCTTCAGAGATACGAGCTATTTTGTTATTTGAGCTCTTTGTCATTTTCTTATTAGACCTTGGTGTATTCAACACCCGTCAATGACATCCAAACACTGCAGAATCGCATTTTCAATGCGCGTCGACAAATTTCTGACCAGCCAGGTGTACTTGAACGAGTGCGTGATTCTCTAAGACGTAGGGCTGAATCATGCGTGAGAGTGAATGGCAATCACATAGAGCACCTCCTCTAATGCTGAGTCAGCATTAAAACTTTTTGTTTTTTGTAAAAAAAATGTTTTTATTTCGTTATCATTATGTACATTCAGTTTCTTTACTACAGTTTTTTTTATGGAAGATAAATGATTACATTTCATAAAATAAAAATTGTTTCTTTATCTCTCTTTGTTTATTTCTTGTTGTTAAAGCACCTAGAAAAAAGATATCCCCATTGTACCCCATTCTTCCCTACTCCTTTGTTCATTACATTCTAAAGATGACACGACTAATAAGAATATGACAAAGAGCTCAAATAAAAAAATAGCTTGTATCTCTGAAGATATTAGTCTTAGGACCCATGTTAATTAGACCTTTTCTTCTTGGCCAATACTACCTCTTATCAAAATATGTAACCCTTTTTTTCAACACCCTGTATACATGTTATATTACTATTTCTATGTAATATATCAGTAATATTAATGTAGTATTGCAATGTATTACATAAATGTATATCAGTAATATTACTGCAATATTATAATATTACTGATATATTACGTAAAATTATGTGCTATGTGAAATTTTATTCTCCTCTCTAGCTCACTCGAATGCAAAAGAGGACTCCGGCGCGTCGGATTTGCAATTCCAAACGCAGTTAAAAAGAAACTTTTCTTTCTTGCTTTTTCTGGAAAAAGGGTGTTCGGACATCTTATTGTCTGAAACGTAGACGCCATTTGTGGAATGGCGTCTACGTTTCTTTACAAAAACTGGACATTTCTCAGTCACTTGAGCCAAGTGCAGGATTATCTCCTAGTTTCCATTACACGACGGACCCTTGTCTACCAATTAGTGATGGTTTTCTCGAGATACCCAATAGAGTCTCGTTGAAAGATGGCAAACCAAACATAATTATTCATGGCCGTCACGATAAGTGACGCGGTTAAAAGTACGGCCCGGAGAGAGGTATTGTTGTGTTGGATGAAAGCATTTTGACAAATTCCAAAGAGTAATGCATGACATGGCTAATACGTAGAATGTTTTCACGCTTTTGAATGACATTAAAATATTATCATTTAAAGCACTTAAATTTGAAGAGTTATTAATGTGGCATGTCGCAATTTCCAATTACATAAATGTTAAAGAAAAATTATGTGAACGTAGGCAAACGTCAAATCGTATATGAAAGTAAAGTTTGGCTCGATACGATATTTATGTCGAACGTTATAAAATTATCAGAATAATTTCGTAAAATAATGATAAAATTGACTCTACAAAAACTTGACATTAATTAAATGGTAGATTTGTAACAAAATAACATACAAACATCTTGCAGACTGCTTGCCAATTATTGATTGAGAACGGGAGTGATTAATGCCAGAGTAGTCAACAAGCAAATTTAGAAGGCGGAGCTAACTAGTAGGAAGAACTCAATTCCTTATAACGGACCATTCACCTTCCACCGTAGCGGCCATTTTGGAGCATCCCAAGCATATGTGCGCTACTCTTCTTTTCATAAACTCATCTTTACTATCTCATCTTCCCCTATCTTTTCTATCATTTTCCCAGCTGCTTCGATAATCATAATAATACTACTTCCGATAATACTGTGTCAGTGCTTCTATTCACAATAATACGAGAGTTTCATAAACATAAAATTGCCGTATGATTAAATTAACATTTACAATTGTAATGTAATTTAATATAAATGTACAATTTTCTAAAAATCTTGTTGGCTATCGGCCTACTATCGTCATAATAATTATTATTAAAACTTGAGATATTTTGCATTTTAAACAGACAGTATCACATTGCGACTAATTAGATTAAATCGCTATCATCACAGAACAGTATCCAACAATTATAACACGAAAATGAGGATCACTGTTACCACGTACAGACGGAAAAGACATGGAATTTGGATAAATGACATGGCTACTGTCGTGTACTATGACCGTGACGTAAGACGGTCTTGGTTGTAAAACATCCGATAACGTGGATGGACTTGGAACTTTCACAGTTTGTAGAGCGTTTAGAAAGCATAAATTATACATCGTAAATCTCCTAGCAATTTCGTAAACAAAAAATCTCTTGACTTTCTTTATCGATATTGTGGTTTATATATATGTATATATGGGTGTGTATTACAAAAAATACATCAATGTGTTAATCCTGTATGTGTGCATAGTTACGTATAGACATGTATAAATGAAGCATTGAAATCTTGTTACGGTTGCAATTATAAGCAATCCTGCGCAAATTAATTGATCAACAAATTAATATCGCACGTGCGTACATTGTGATACTGTATGCATACAATGCATTTATGGATATCTGCGAAAAGGCAAAATAGCAGAGCGATTATCGATGTAACGTGAATCACGTTGCGACGAAGCATAATCGGACATATTATTATTAGATTAATTTTTTTATGTACGCGAATATTCTAATGACACCACGATAACTCGCTTAGTTCACCCAGTAATTATGATAGAAGACGCATATCAGCTATTCGGTAATTATGAGAGATATGTTGCGTTATCCGCTGTGTAGCATATGATACGTGCAAAATTGTTACCGGACCGAAGCAGACGATAAAATGTACATGATGATAAGGACCAATAACACAGTAGCACATATACTTCATCCGGGTTAATGATGTTGTCTAACGAGAGAGGAATTTTGTTGATACAAAATTGTTATCACAGCACAAGAAGAGAAGCTTTTTTTATATCAAAAGCCAAATCAGTGGTTTAGTTTATTTGAAGATTGAAAATATGCTCATTCTGTTTTTAGCGACTATCTACTTCATAGAATTAGACGAGCGGAAGAGATCTTTAATCGATTATTAATCATAAATACCAGACATTTGAGCAATGTCGCAATTTTTTAAAAAAGGTAAAGATATTTGAGTTGAAGAGGACGAACGTCGTTTATGCAAAGAAAATCATAAATTCATCCAGGCTTGAGGCTGTGACGAAGAATGCACTGTGGTCGGTTATATCGAGAAATGTTGATTGTGGCCCGTGCAATCGACATAAAGTAATAACTTCGGTATACAGCTTGAATCACATAACTCGATCAGCCCGTTATTCGCTTTATCGTTGGCCCAATAAAAACTTGTCTCTTTTGCCACCTTCGACAATGCGATCCCCTAAATATTCTCTTATCAATTTCTCTTTTCGAAATATTAATTGCAACTTTTGTAAATAGGCGCAATCAGAAAAATTAAATTACACGGTTCGGCCAGTATTTGCGCCAATGCATTCGGCGAACGAAGACGACATGGCGAAGGATGACGGCAACGACTACTATTGATACAACGATGGCGATGATTTAATGTACATCGGTTTACGTGAACCATGACTTTTGTGCGGCACCGTGACCTCGCCACGTTGAACCCGACGCAGGCACAAGTACCCGACTGTACGGCGAATCCAGGCCTTCGACGAAGGCAACTTTGTAGGCAACGAGAACGATCGCGTCGTCTCTGAATTTTTCCGATGTCCATTTATATACACGATTCTTTAAAAATTCCATTCGTCTGTATAAGTTCCAGCTCGAAATAGCTTTGAATAATAAGTATCCGGGTCGTAAATTATTGGTCATTTAAGTTTGTGAGCTTCCGATTGGTGAATAACTTTTGTACCTACTCATTTTCTATAACTGTTAAATGGCCGTATGTTTCCCTCTTTACTTAACCGGTAGAAAAGCAATATAAAAGTTTTGTCCACATAATAGCTAGTATAGTTTATACTATAAAAACTAAAATTTACAAGAAAAAGTCAAGGAGATTTTTATGTGAGAAGCAAAATGTTTTCTTTTTTTTTTGGTAAGTTTTATCTGATCAAAACTGTAAAAACATCTCGCGTGGACGACTTGACATTTTGCACTTTCGACGTATTTACGTAAAGGCAGTTACGAAATGAACGTACGAAATCGCCTGACTCGACGCGATAAGATCTTTCGAACTTCACCTTCTTTATATAAAATATTATATTTTTATCTTGACATGTTCGTTCAAATGTTTGCAGGAAATAATGGCGCAATAGGTCAGCGAAAATTTTATGACAAAGTAATAGCATTTATTGAATTTTTGGTAAGAGCGTATATAAATCCGGGTAAGCATAATATGAAAATTGACAAAACAGCGGGTCTTGATGAACAAAGAAAACTATCCTTGACGTCCCGATAGTTTTATCATCTCGATGGCGACCGAACAAACCGGGTACTCAAGTTTGTCTTATTATATTGCGGTATTAAAAGCAAACGGTCCATTTGTATAGACGCACACGTGACTCATATAGGATCTCGACATGACAACGCGACCAACGTGTGATAATGTTCCGTTCATTAATATTTCGAGCAAGAAGCTTATATATACGTGTGCTTGTATTCAAAAATTTTATACCATGTTCCACATAAGAATTATTGCAACTCGTACTATAATTATTCCAGAAGCTAATTCTGAGCCAAGTGAACAATTCAGTGTAAAACTTTGCCTCGTCATATATTTCAATGTTTAGAAGTAATTAAAAAAAAGTTTCTCATGTTACTTTTATATATTATATAAAGGTCAATGAATAAATAAAATTAAAAGATATTATTTACATCATTTTATCACTTTCGCGTATCTGTTTCTTTTAAATCAATAAAAAGTGTAACGGGCGTAAACAAAAATGAAGAAATTCGTCTGAATCAAAAAGCAATCGAAGGTGGCTCGTCTTCAAACATCACGAAATGACACGCGATGGAGTGACTCAGGAGACTTGTGACGCAGCGAGCAAGTGTTTAAATAGAAATAATGGCGACCCTGACGATCGAGCCGATAAAATTCAACCGTTCGAGGGAATGGTCAAAGTGACTGTTACAGGTGCCAGCGATGCGCCTTACACTAGCACAGAATAGGATAATAGAACGACTCCTCATGACATCGTTATCGAAATGCCAGGAATGACGATGTACCTTTCTGACTTTTTCCGCGCAAGCGAATGCGACAATAACTAAAGTTATTTTAATAAAGTACTTTCGGAGCGCTGTATTAAAATTTAAAAAAAATATATAGACAAATACAAAACCTGTATTCCTTCATACGTAGAAATTATGCATAAACGTTTATACAACACTGTTGATACGTAACTTGTTGCGTTTAGTGGGTAAGCACATATTTTGACATATTACCCACGTAACATTCCGGACAGCGATCTTATATCTTATAATTAGTGCTGATGTATTCAAAAGCTGTGGCTTGTTATCTTTATTAATAATATCTTTATTGCTGTGTGGTATTGATGTAATCGATAGCAGGAGCATTACGTGACATAATTATCCACCACAAACCGCAAATAAATGCAGTCGATCATAAACGGTTATCACGCCCACATAAACGACAACAAGAAATAACAAGTAAATTATTAAAAGATACGTATTGGTAACTATCGTAATAGTAATAATAAATTTCATTTGTAAAACGTACAAGTTTACGAACTTTAACTGGTCGGGACATGATGATGTTCCAAAGTTAAGCCTTGGTCCTTAGAACCAATTTGGATACTGAAGAGACTCGTTTCGCGATCGCGGCAAAGCTGGTAAATACATATTTTATGTTTACAATAAAGTAAATTTGCGGATAATTATGAAAGTATAAGGACTGATCGCGATGGTTTTTCAACAGCATTACTCTGAAACAGCTGAAGAGGAACTTGTGATACGCGATTCACTGCTTTCGTATTTTACAATGTAACAATAATTGAAGTATGTGACGCTAAAAGAGCGTACTCCTTAACTCTGGATTGTGATCTAGAATTATTATTTAGATTATTAAACATAGATTATTAAAATGAGACGCTTTTCAGCGCAAAGCTTTGTATTTTGCACAGTAATGATACGTACATATGCAGAACACATACACATGTTCCATGTATGTATATGCAAAATGTATAAATGTGTGAATACGTGCCTAATGGGGGGGGGAGGGGTATGGGAAGGCATCAGTGATTCCTAGTGTGTACACGCACCGGCATAAATGCTGTCCCTATCCTTGTGAGGTGCACGCACACAACTAGAGTCCCTGTAGTTGTGCGCGTGCACCTCACAAGGATAGGGGCAGCATTTATGCCGGTGCGTGTACATTCCTAAAGAGTTAAAAACTAACAATCGCGGAGTCGGACATTGCAAGTTTCCCTTACTTAACGTTTAAGCCGTTCCGAAAGATGATCGGAAAGACATTCGCGACGGATGTAACGAAGCTGAATGCAGCTGACGGCTGTACCAGCCGGCAGTATATGCATATACCGGCGGGCGTTATCGCAAAAGCAGGGGCAGCGTTATCACTCTGATATCCAACATATATACATCCTTGACGACCGGCCCCTGGCCTCCAGTGACTCGCGGACCACCGACTCAGTTGAGCGCTTTAGTGACACACTGTGTACATGGCTCTCTTAGACATCTAGTTGCGACTGACAGTCGAAATAGAGTCCGGAGACGCTCTGCGGTCGCCGAAGGATCGATCGATCCAAAACGATCCTCTCGCGACTAGTCCACCCTGAGAAGGCGATGAACGCGAGAGCGCGAGATCGCGAAAGGTGGAAGTGGTACTCACCGTATTCTCGGTGCCGATACTTGACCACGGGTTTGCCGTCGTCGTCGCTCCTTCTCTTCATCTCGCGATCACTCCTCCTCTCGAGATCACCTTGCGTTTATCCTCGGTTGCGTTCTGGTCCCTCGTACCTTCGACAGCCGTCTTTTGATCTGGAACTCGCACTATAAGAAAGACTCGGCACTTTACTCGGCGAGGGCGAGGGTGGCTGCGACTACGACATTCTCACCTCACGGAGGATCACGCCTTGTCCTTTCGTTTCCGCGCGCGGAAGGCGCAGGAGAGCGATTGATGCTGTGTGCACACTGCGATCGGTGACTAGACGAAAATTAAGATCCGGACTTTTGCTGGCTGTACGACAAGTCGCGCCACTGCTCTATGATTGGGAGCGAGGCTCGCGTATATTATGTACATAGAGCAAACGGAGCAACAAGAGAAAAAGAGACGGGACGAGAGGTAGAGGAACAGAGCTGGAAAAGACGGTAAAACAAAAAGGGGAAGAGAGAAAGAAGGAGAACGAGAGAGAGAGAGAGAGAGAGAGAGAGAGAGAAAGAGAGAGAAAGAGAGAGACGCAAAATGAGCGAGCAATTGCGGCTTCGCGGATGGCCGATGCCGAGGCGATGTGAGTTTGCTGGCGAGTTACCCGAGTGAACGAAGGCGAGACGAAGATACCACGAGAACGAACGCGCAGACAAGGAGAAACGAAGGGGGGGAGGAGTGAATAGGTCGAAGAGTAGGATGGAACGAGTCGCAGAGAGACGGAAGGAATAGAGGAAAATAGAATGGAGGAGAGAGTGCAAAAGAGAGAGAGAGAACGGCCAATTCGAGCTGTAATCGCGGGCAGAGTGGCGACTCGAGAGGGGAGAGCCGGTGCCTTGTGTCGAAGAGCCGCGGTGGTAGGAGCAGCGCGAATCATGCTAGAGAAAAGTATGGGAGTTGTAAAATCGCCACGCGGTGCGGCACGGTGGTTATTATCGCGCGAGTTCCTTATCAGTGCGAGGGGGGGGGGGAGGGGGCTGGCTAGTGACCACCTCCTACCCCTTCTTCTTTTTCAAAGCCGGCTCCCGCCGGCTCGGTCTTTGCTGCACATATTTGTGACCCGTTGGAATTTACACACGCGGGAATGTCATTTTATCGCGCTCTTATTAGCTGCACCGCCTCGCAACTCCACGAGGAGTGCTCTTGGATCGACTGTGATTGATCGCGACCGTGCCGTTTCTGCCGAATATTTCCTGCCACGAAACACGTGCAGATCTTTACAGCTTTTCAATCCTCTTAATGTATCTCATTGTTAGCTCGACTAGTATAAACTCTTCTCTCACTTTCTAATCCTTTCTGGATTCTTGCTTTGAAGCATTTCCGAAATGATGAAACAAAATAGAAAAAATATTATACGCGTAGCAGCGGCTCGAAATACATAAAGGGTACATAAAGGGAGGGAGAGTGTTTACAGGGTCGGCGAGGCTGAAGCGTAAGCAAACGGATCGGCGACTGTTTCGAGAGTGCCAGGTTACAGACACTCGGCTGTCAAGGACAAGCCTGTCCATTCATTCGCCCGTTCTTATGATCGAGCGTTCGTTCATTCATTTATCCGCCAATTGATTATTGCTAGCTCACGCGGTATTTGTATTATTATATATACACGAGTATTGTTAGTTTCGTCGAGGTATTTCAGACCCTTTACTTTTGACTAATTGTAAGAACGGAATTTTCCATTAGGTACAATAAGCGTACGTCTAAAGCCACTAAATCAAATGGTGACCGTAATAAATGTCAAAATTCACTCTTTACGGGTAAGTATAATATGATGACCACCCGACATTTTTACCCGACATATCTGACGTTACTGCGCTTAAAGGATAGCATTCGCTACCGTTATACTAGTCTCACTTGGTCGATTTAAAGCGCAAAATCGCTATAATTAATGCTGTAACTGCTATGCTGCAAGATTCATATCATAATGGTGTGAATTGATGGCGTAATAAAATATGGTAAATGACTTGACTCACCGTCGTTGTACACTAGCCAAATGCGCTCTCACACCTGGAAAAAATTAATGCATTATAATTGTTATAATTTTTCTATCTTATTGTTAGCCAACTCAATTATCACGTACTATTCAAGTATGCCAATTTTTACTAAAAGACAATCTAGTGAATTCGAGTTAAAAAATAAATTATACATAAATTTCAAAGAATTTAAAGGACTCAGAGCCGTGGCAGGGTGGCAGTGTCTAAATATTCTATTCTAAGTTTATTGCGAAAAAATATCACCTCGGCCAGGGTTTGAACCTGGACCTTCCTCTCGCTAGGCGGGCGTCTCGACCAATGCAATTTTGTGCCTCACATTATGTGCCTCGGTGGTCGAATTGGTTGAGACGCCCGCCTAGCGAGAGGAAGGTCCAGGTTCAAACCCTGGCCGAGGTGATATTTTTTCGCAATAAACTTAGAGTAGAATATTCAGACACTGGCCACCCTGTCACGGCTCTGAGTCCTTTAAATTCTTTGAAATTTGTGTTTAACACACATGAGCCTTACTAATTTATTTATAAATTATACATACTTGAATAATTATTGAAATATTTCTGGACTCAGTGGAATAAAATTCAGTTGTTTGCGACTTGATATTTTTCGTCCACTAAATCAATTTTCATCAATAGTATTTGTTCCAAAATAATTGAGGAGATCAAATCGGCATTTCTCAGAGTTTAAAAAGGGAATGTATAAAATTTTGTTTAATAAATAAGAAATATCAATTGCAAATTCACGCTATATACGTATTTAAATCATTAATAAGTAAGTTTACTCACCAGCTAACGTATGGCAATATGCTCCGCTCGTTGTAAAATCCATTTTAAAAACCCGTGTCAGCTCCACTGAGGAAACGATGAGTTGTCCATGAACAAGCACTGTAATTACACACAATATTTAAAACACATTTAACACCTACAAAACACACTGAACAAACACGAAAATCACCGCACTACATACGAAAAATCAAATATAATATAATGGACGCGCTTGGTCTTTTCACCTGGAATCACAACTTGGAAGCGTTCGCGCACATGATCGCAGTCGAGTGTTTAATCGAATGGTGCTAAATACTTTAATAGATGCGCTCGGAATTTGTGTTACTTTATTTTCTAGTTAATTGTCAACCAGAAGTTAGTCGATTCTCTGTCTCTTCTTAGACAATAACATTAACAGTTAACCAGAAAATGAAAAACCGGGCTTTGCGCTTAGAAACATATTATATTTTCTACAAGCAAATAAAAACTCTCAGAAAATTTGACTACAGTGTGCGATTGTACAATGTATAAGGTACAATTTACTAAGTTGCACAAATTTTTTAAACGAATTTATTGGCTGGGAAATAGAATGTTTCTAGACGCAAAGGACACATTGCAGATTAGCCTTAATGGCTCTAGCAGATCAGCGCGACAACGCGACGCGCAATTAGCCAATGAACGTACAGGTTTTATGGGAAAGCGTACTGGTTCCTGCCCGCGATTTAACGTTGTTAATTTGCGATTGGTGTTTCGCTGCTTTCAACCAGCTGCGTTTTATCGTCACGGTGTCTATCGACGAGACAAATAAATACGAATGAAAAGAGACTCTCCTCGTCTCTCATTCAAAATACCGTTTCGAGAGAAGAGCCACTGCGGTGCCGCGTAGTAGCTCAACGGTCAATTAATCCGTGGAAAATTTATCGTACGAGTGAGTAATGTTGTCACATGATCATTCGTTTGTTGGTACAATCGCACGTTTGCATTTTTACCGACGCCGCGTTATAGCGTATAACGCGGTCGAGACGCTACGATCGCACGAAGTCCATTTAACGAAACTGCCGCTCATTCGACAATCGGTCCGATTTTTATGCTCGCGACATAATTAAGGCCTGGTTGCACCAACGTCGCTTAACTTTAACTTTAGCTTAATTCACTCTTTGTCTCTTTCTAAGGGAAAGAGGAACATGGACATAGCAATACTAGACCGAGCATGTTCTCTTTTAAGCGATAAAGATTAGGTAGAAAAGGATAGAAAGTAGGTGCCGCGTCAACCTTTCTCTTTTTATTGTTCTCGTTAGAGAGAGAAAGGTGGACGGCACCTACTTTCTATCCTTTTCCACCTGAGCCTCAGGTCTGGCGTCTCATGCTCTCGGTCTAGTATTACTATGTCTACGGTTAGAAAGAGACGCAGGGCGAATTAAGCTGGTGGCAGAGAACGATCCGTAAACGCTTAAGACTGGCTTAGTCGTAGACGTAGGGCAAGGCAGAGAGAAACGTAAGTCGTGAAAGGCTATTGTATACGACTTACGTTTCTCTCTGCCTTGCCCTACGTCTACGACTGAGGCAGTCTTAAGCGTTCACGGATTGTTCTCTGCCATCAGCCTTAAGCTACAGTTCAAATTACGTGACGTTGGTGCAATTGGGCCCAAGGCCTGTTATACAATACGTCGTTTGTCGCTGTCGGATGTCGGGACGTAGCCGATGGTCCAATTTCTTTTCAAAAAATAAATTTTCTCATTGGCCCATCGGCTACGTCCCGACATCCGACAAACGACGTATTGTATAATATAACAGACCTAACAGGCCTAATGTGAGGTCTACAATGCGAGTCGCAGAGTCGTGGTCGTAAGAATAATCGACTATGATTGGTCAATTCTTATGTGTCCAACGGAATTGACCAATTGCAGTCGATTATTCTTACGACTACGACTCTGCGACTCGCATTGTAGACCGCGCAAGAGATGATTTAACTTTCAGGCACGCTACAGGCGATGAAAAGGACGTGATTCTCACGAAAGCGAAATCGGTGGCTTGTGCGCACTAAGAGCATCCGTACGGATCTTCTTTTTGACTAAATACTTTTCCAACATGTTTTTAAGACAAACTTAAATACAAGAATGGACTATAACCCAGTGAGAAATGATTCGTCGATCGACGTCGGAACGACGTCGAATCGACACCGACACCGTCGAATTGACGTCGATTCGACATCATTTCGCCGTCGATCGACGAATCATTTCTCACTGGGAAGCAAGCCTTAGTGTGCAAGCAATCGAATTCGCAGTATAACGTGAGAATTATACTCGCGTATCAACATAATTGGGATCTGTACTCACCGGGACTATGTCCGTTTCGAAGGACGGAGCAGCGTCGACGATCACAGAACATATTGTGGCGGCGAGTGTGAAGAATCGCGTGACCGATGCATTCCGGTGACCACTCGTCATTTTGATCGACACTCCCGAGACAAACTCGCGCTTCCCGCACACTCTTGACAGTAAAAATTCACGATATACCGTGGAGCGACCCGCGCTACACGTCTGTTGCAAAAAAAACTGTCATGGCGACTGAGAAAACTGTATGGCGCGCGGGAAATCAAAATAGTTTGAAATTGAGGTGCACTTCAAATACAAGCGTTTAGAATTTTTGCAACGAGAATTAGCTTCTCTTAGGTCCAGTTTCACCAACATCATTTAACTTTAAGCTTAGCTTAATTCGTTCTTTGTCTCTTTCTAAAGTAACAGTTGGAAAGAGACAAGGAACGAATTAAGCTAGGCTTAAAGTTAAACAACGTTGGTGAAACCGGGCCTTAGCAACTTGCGAACGATTAACGGCGGAATTCGACGTTCCCTATGAACATATGAACAAACAAAGTGAACATTTAAATATAAAACGCGCGGCAAGCAGGGAGGGAGAGGGAGGGAGGGAGGGAGGGAGAGAGCTTTCAAATTGGCACAAGTTTTACTCAAAATAATCGTAACAACGGTATCAGAAAAAGATATAAAAAATTTTCATGCATCTGTTACTGCAGAGGCAAAATTTAGATCCCTCATCTTATGACAAGTAACCTGAAAATGTTGGCGCTTTTAAAATAGTATTATAAAGTGTTATGGTAAATTGATACGCGTATTTAACGGACAAAAAGCATCGACATATTTACGAGTCGGCCTCAATTTATTTGCCGAGTTTGACGCTTATATTTCACACGCGCGCCATATACGCACGGTTCACCTCGAGCTTTTAACGATCCCCTCGCGCTAATTGCTTATTGTTTCCTCCTGGAAATGAACTCGCAGCTGCACGCTCTGACCTCGAAAACTCGACCTATTCGACTAAAGATAAAGCACGCTACCCACCTGTAGCGAAAGATCATTTTCTATAATCTATTGAAATGCTCATTTTGTTTAACAATATACAACTTTATTCTGTCATACTTACAATAAAATTGTGTACAAACAGATTAAAGATTAAGAAACCCTGAATCTCTCCGCGCATGCGGTCGCATCTTCTAACCGGGGGTTGTACAACTTTTAGTTATCTTTTTCTTAGAGATAAACGAAATTTTACATTGAAGCTAACGTGAGAATGTGCGTTGCAATAGATTTTGCTAACAATTTTAACAAATATTACGCATTTCTTTACAATTTTTGGTGATACATTTATGCATAAGTCGAATCATTAGTACGAAGCCCAATATTACCTCCTAATCATTATACTGTTTTAATTGTGGCACATAATATTACATTGTATGTTCATATATGACATATTTACAATAATTTTTTTAACAACAGTTAATGGACTCGAAGATTAAATATATAGCCATGAATATTCACAAATTATTTATTTTGCAAGCTGCAAATCATTAATAGGAGACCTATATCAAGTTAATAAACACACTCAGCAATAATAGATAAAAGATAGAACTTTGATAATAATTTATTATAAAAATCATGAAACAAGTTTCATTTGATAAATGTATTGTAACCAAGAAAATTGTTACTCAAGTAAATGCTGAAGTTATGTACGATTAAAGATCAAGCCATACATATATTTTATCTATTTTGTCTATTTAAATAGAAAAGAAAATAGAAAATCTTAGGAAACTGATCAATACGTTCGGAAAATAATACCACACGACAAATTTCGGTAACTCTACTACTTATGTAATATACTTTTACGTATTTGATTATGGGACATTTGTAACGATCGTTGATTTAATGAAATTAATAAACAAAAATTGAATAAATTTTTCGATATTTTCATGTCATCTATAGAAATTTGTTACACTTGAAGTTTGCAACTTGATTACTACAGTTTTAATATTTGACTTAATAAAAAATTAGTGTATTTGTTTTCAATAATCCAAAATGTTGACACACAATATACATAGATATAAAAAATTTTATATTAATTTTATCATACTACGATGTCATATTTTATTCACAAAAATATACTTAACATTTTTGGATGAAAGAATATTAATATAAAAAAAACTTATGTAATGCATATTTTGATGGCAAATTGCTATAGAAAAAAAAACCACAGACGGTGTATTACGAGAAATCCAGTTTGGATACCCGTAGATATTTTAATCAAATTAACACGATTGTTTAACACGAGTTGTATTTTTAACGAAACAATAAGCTCTGAAAAGTATTAAAATCTGAAAGAAGTCGATATGGTATTATGGATCCTAAGATTACGTGACTGTCCGTAAAGTGTAATCCCCGATTTTCTCGAAAATTACATAACCGCATATTGTTCTTAACCGATGATTAGGCCACAACCTAATCTAAATTGCTGTTTGCTGTGATTCATCATACCACTGAGCGCAAATGAGAATGGCAACGGTTGCAATCTCTTTTCTAAAACTGCCCCTACCGTCCAAGTCGTATCTACGCAACCTATGATAACATATTAGAGATTAGAGAATTCGATAAAGTTACAATATCCCTGAGGTAATTTTGAATACATACCTTTAAACACTAAATCTGCTTTAGGTAAATCGACTTGATAGGCGATTGCTGCCGAAGATTCTTGCATTCGCGCATTAATTTCTAATTCCACACCCACTTGCAACTGTGGACTAGCTCTTTGGTGGAAGGACAAATGGCAAGCGGATGGACCTTGGGAAATAATTATTTTAAATAACAAGAAAATCGTACAAGTTTATCAGGGCAATAACAACTACTTACTAACGCTACCGCTGAATGTAGAGTCGCCATTTGTATATCTTCCCGCAGCGGATAGTAACGCAACTTGTCCGCCTGGCACACCAGGTCCACGTTGATACGCAAGCTCGCCACCCAATGCGAGCGATGGCGTCAAACTTTGAAGATAATGTAGAACAAGTACCCCTGAATATATATTTACAGTATTTAAGATGGCGTACTTATATTTGTACAACACGGGTGATATTTCCCGTATAAACAGCTTTCCATATTACCAGAGCCAGTAAGAATATCTGGATTGCCTAGCGTTAAGGAACAAGTATACGCATCTCCTCGATAATCAGCCGTCATTTGTACAGCGGTAAATTTACTTCTTTGCACTTGCGCTGCCAATTTTCCTTTCAGTCTTGAACCGAACTGATGAAGAATATTGGCGTTTAGATTTCCGCTTGGATCAATGTCGCCCAATAATATAGGATATGCTTCCGTAGGTGAAATTTGTTTTGTACCGACGAAAGTGGCACCAAATCTGAGAAAGTCAGGTAATTGATCGGAAGTTTACACTGTAAAGCATATCAACCTTTAGCTGGCTTACACTGGGAACAAGACGTGGCACCACAAGTACAATTTTCGCACCGTAAGGGGCTTTAAATTTAAGCTGAACTGGGGCGTCTAATACCCCACGGTACCAGCTAAGGGTTAATATTAACAAGACGAATATTCCCATCTATGCTGATTTACCTGTAGCCAGATTGTGTTACCGAACTCATATTAATAGTATGTGAAATATGGAAATGGTTACTCAATCCCTTATTGACTACCAGTTTTGCTCCTTCAAAGTTCATTGGGAGTATATCTGTAAAATGCAAACATAATCACATTTTCTTCTTTCGCGTAAGTATGTGATGATCTATGTCGTAAAAAAGCAGAGAAGAAATAGTGATTGGTTTGCGTTATAAGATAAATGATAAGCAAAAGGCGCAATGGTTGATGAGATCTCGTGCTATATAACCCAAAGGGTTGGAGGTGGCAATTCCTGCCGCCGGAATGTAATAAAAGAACGCATTGTAGTATATAGGCCTTTCTCTTGCGTATCTCTTTGCATTGGCAGTAATCGTTCACATATTCTCGACTGCGTAAAAACGTTAGAAGAGGTAACGCAGCACGTACAGAAAGTAGAATATAAAAGTTGGAAGAAAATATAATACGGCCAATAAGCACAACGTGAGGAACCATTTGAATAGGAAAAAATCACACGTAATGTGTTGGTTGTCAAGCGAATAATCTACTAGCAAGTTTTCTGTGATAAAACGAAGGAATAGAGTTGTCTGAAGAGAGCGGAGATCGTATACCCTTGGACTAGGTACCTTTACACTTTTTGTGCAAATCCTCGATGGTACCCGGGTTCTCGATCTGGCCGGGCGCCTCGGCCGTAGGCGCGTAGACATCCGTAGACGCATCCGGCTTGCCTAAATTCGGCATCAGTCCGGGACCCGGTGGCGGAGGTGGCGGCGGAGGAGGTGCGGAGGCGGCCATCACGTTTCCCATTATTACAGACTTGGCGGTACGAGATTATCAAATCTGTCGCGCGTCGTGGATCGCCTCTCGTTCAGTCGCTCGGTCGACTTTGTCGCGCCGAGCGCTTCAACGTTTATTTGCGCGACAAAACGATCCGGACTTACGTCTCAAACGGGTTATTAGACGGCACGGCGTGTTGCACCGTAAGTCGCCATTTGTAAAAGATAACCACAAAGTTCCTTCCGTGAACGTGCTCGGCGTGAGTTGTGTAACGCAGGGATACCAACGTTACCAACGTTTCAACGTGAGGAGTAGGTCGGCCAATCGGAGCAAAGTTTACTCAAGGCCCGTGTCCACGATGCTAAAACTTGGTCCAACGGACACCGGCCCTTAAGGCCAATGTCCACGATGCTAGAACTTGGTCCAAGTTCTAGTTTCGAGAAACGTGTAGCCAATCAACTTGCAGCTTTTATGGAATAGCTGCAAGTTGATTGGCTACACATTTTTCAAGACCAAAACTTGGACCAAGTTCTAGCATCGTGGACGCCCCAGTGAGAAATGATTCGTCGGTCGATGTCGATTCGACGTCGTTTCGACGTCGATCGACGAATCATTTCTCACTGGGGCAGACTTTAAAGAATGTTCCAGCCGTCTAAAGGCCTGTGTCCACGATGCTAGAACTTGGTCCAAGTTCTAGCATCGTGTACACAAGGCTTAAGCCTATCACACAATGCCAGGCAACAGGCAATAGGAATAGAGAATAGAATTTTTGACGCGTTGGATTCGTCGGAAATTTTCTTCCAACCAATCCAACGCGTTAGAAATTCTATTCCCTGTTCCTATTGCCTGTGCTTTCCTATTGTGTGATAGGCTTTAAAGGTCTATTCGTGTTATGTGCCGTTCGCGACGCGAACAGACCTTAGGTCATTGTACGTCATTGGTTGGATCTTCCGCTATGACGTACACATACCTAGACGTCCGGGTGTCATTGCCCTTATGGCGCACAGTGTAAAACACCCCTAACGTTACAGACTCATCGTCGTCACCGTCGTCACATCTGGTCACATCATCACATCATCACGATCTCGCCGAGTGTTTACATGGGAAGGGGGGTGGGGGGTGGGGGCAGTACGTAACAGAGCAGAGCTATCGTGACTCGCGGGGATTCGAAAAACAAATGAACCTGGCCTGTAGCCAGTCCAGTGCGTATCGAACGAGGCGTCGCGTTGCGTGATATCTCGTGCCGCGGCAGGAACGGAGTAACGGACGTGTGTGAAGGAAGAGGAACGCGTATTTTCCCCGCTGTCATAATACTGGAACGTAAGTGTTGCGCGTACTCGATTTTACGTCGGTACGTCGCGTATACATACGATGCGTCGAATTTCCGTTATCTGCTACACGTCGATTCATATCGCGGTGTACTCTCAAGTATTTGCACGGAATGTTATCGGTAGAACGAATCGGTAGAGTATTCGGGAATTAGCGAAGAGTTTTGCCAATTCGAAGGAAAGAAAACGTTAGCGATTGCACGAACGTGAGCGTTCGTAATTGTTGAGGAACAGAAAGAAAGAACAGCTAACACGCAGTTATTGCTGAGTAGTAATTTTCTGAATTTTTAGAAAACCATATGGATTGCTGTTTTGCCAATCAGTATGATAGCTCTCAGATTACGGAGACATTCCCGAATGTCTCCAGTCCGGAGATGTTCGATAGCGATACCGAAAGTGACGTGGACAGCAGACACGTCGAGGCGTCAGCTGGAGACAACGGTGCAACGGCAGCGATGCCGCCTCGAGAGCCCACCCAGGCTGAACTGATTGCGACATCGGACAGTTGCTTGCTGGCCAGGATCAACAAGTATCTGTGCGGTGTCCCGCCCCCGCCGAAACATACAACGTCTCAGAGCGATTGTTCAGACTTTTTGCGACAAATTTACAAAAACGGTCAGTTATTCTGCAACGGACATTCACTATCCGATGGAAGTGCAGAGTCTACGGAAAACACAAAGCCCGAGGAACAGAAAACTACCACAGACACTAATGATAGGAATGTTCCTTCTCAATGCACAAAGGGTACACCGAGGAATTTGATAAATGCCTTTGACGCTTGTGATTCGTCGCAAGCTAACGTTGCGGGAGACGCCAAATTAGGTGTAAACAAGAGTGACGGCGACGATTGGAGCGTATACAATGTTTCTAAGGAGATAAATTCGGCGAATACGATTAAGAAAACAGTGAAAGTTCTGCCAGTTGTAGACAGCGCAGATGTATCTCGCAAGCAATCTCCTCTTATCTATCAGACGATTGGTGAAAAAGAGGTCAAAACTTTAACGTGGCCTCAGGCTTACTCTCACAAGTTCCATGGCATACAGTGAGTTTGTACACCTTCGATTATACCACGCTACAAGTATGTAGCCTTTTAATGCTCTTTCTTAAATTTCAGCTACAACCGGAGCAAAACTGTAGAAGAGTTTGAGAATTTAACAGTGAAATTATGTGAAAGGTATATAGGAGCCGAGACGCAGTCTACTTGTAATATATGGTTTTCGAAGCAGCCACCAGGAAGCGCGAGAAAGCGAAGTTTATTGACGAAACGCGGAAATGGTCAAAGTCCGGAGAAGAGATTGACGCATTTAGCCAAAAGACGTAGGACTTTTTGCAGCGCTAATTTGCAAGGATTGGGACTCGCTGATAAAAGGCAGTTAATGATACCAATCAGGTATGCACAATTAATAAAGCATTATCTTATACGACAATTATAATAAATCTGTACATATGCAATGTAGGAAACTTACACATAAAAAAGGGAAAAGTCCAAGAGGTAAAAGTCCTCGAGGTAAGAGTCCTCGCGGTAAAAGCCCAAGGAGTTCGGCAAAGAAGAAAGTCGTTCGAAGGTTAATGCTAGACGAGTCGAGTCCATGTAAATCTAAAGTAGAAACTTCGAAACGTGCGTTGTTCCAAAGTCCATCGTCGGATCATCCTGGCCCGAGCAAATTACTAGGTACAAATAATACGGATACTCAAAAGATTAAGCGCGCTTTATTTTCAACGCCGAAAAAGAGCGAATCTGACGATGCGAAACAAACGTCTTCGCGAGAGGAAAGTAGAAAGAGGAAGTGCGAGGAAGAGTTGCAAGGGCCACGATTGAAGTGGGCGAAAAGCTTATCGTTTGACTGCACGCACGAATTAAAAAATACTTGCAAAGTTACGTGGGATAGATATTCGTCGAGCAGCGTTCTTTCGAAAAATGAAACGTCCTTCAGCCAAGGAAAGAATGAACTAAGCAATACTCACAAAAAGGTTTGTACTACCGAGTCTTTAGTTTACTTTGATACACCTTGACAGAATATGTACACAACTTTCTCGCTCGTTTCTAGAAATTACTTTGGGCGGTTGCGGAGGCCCTGCGAAGCAAAGGAATTGGCATGAATCACCCCAAGTTTAAGCAATACGCCGCGAACTTGGCACGCACAATAAAAAAATTTATGCCCGATCTGGAAAATAGAAATATTCCACGGAAACCTGGAAGTACGAGCGATCGCATGTTAAAACTAGCCAAGCATCACGTGCTGTTTCTTATCGATACTAGGCCAATGGATTGACAGTACTCATTAATACAATTAGTCAAATTCAACAAGTTGCACGAAAGATTTGCCTTTTTGGCAAACAGGACATTGTTAAAATGACCAAATATATAGGTGCTTGTACCTTTAGCCGACGTGTGTTTACACTATGACTTTTATATAACTTAATAATATAAGGTAAAGTATGTTACAGTAATGAAGATTTAAAAATGGGATTGTATATTGTTACACACCCACATGCAGGGTATTAAACATTTTTTATCGTATAAATAAAGTGTTTTTAATAAGCATAGTATTTTTTATTAGCTTTAAAATAGTTATATTTCACAACTTATAAATAATTAATACAAGGCGTTTTTCTCAAGTAAAACGCAATTTGCAATAACTTTACTTATGTTAATGCACGTTTACGTACGTCAATCTAACATATGTGTGTATTTAAGACAGTGAAGGACAAGTAAAAAAATAAAGACTAATTGCATCGTAATTGTAATACTTCATTTTCATTCAGAGTTGCCGTGACCGACCCTGGGCGATAACTTCGTCTAGAATTTTCGCGAGTTCCTTGTTTTCTGTTCCACAAGCTCGGCGAGCGAATTGCTTTTAAGTTCTGCTTTCCTTATCATCGTATGCAGTTTTACCGTTTCCGCCTTGTTCTGCTTTCGTATTCCGTCCAGTTCCAGATTGGCTCTAAAATATATCAAGATATATTTGTATGTACCTTCGTGGCGATCATGGCACAGAGAGATCCGCGCTGCTCTAACGAGTCAAAGATCCGAGTTCAAATCCGACCGATGTATGTATATATCGGTTCATAACACATATGCTGTGTTTTCCTAAGAAATCATCATCAATCTAACATATGTTTGTATTTAAGACAGTGGGGGGAAAAGTAAAAAAATAAAGACTAATTGCCTCTTAATTGTAATACTTCGTTTTCATTCAGAGTTTCCGTGACCGACCCTGGCGATAACTTCGTCTAGGATTTTCGCGAGTTCTTTGTTTTCCTTTGTTTTCTGTTCCACAAGCTCAGCGAGCGAATTGCTTTTAAGTTCTGCTTTCCTTATCATCGCATGCAGTTTTACTGTTTCCGCCTCGTTCTGCTTTCGTATTCTGTCCAGTTCCAGATTGGCTCTAAAATAAATATCAAGATATATTTGTATGTACCTTGGTGGCGATCATGGCGCAGAGAGATGCGCGCTACTCTAACGAGTCAAAGATCCGAGTTCAAATCCGACCGATGTATGTACATATCGGTTCATAACACATGCTGTGTTTTCCTAAGAAATATACAATGATATTAACTAGATTGATTGCATACTTTTCTAGCTGAGCCATTGCATGCTCCTTGAGTTGATCGTATCGTGTTTCCAGTGTTTTTATGGTTCCTACATTTTCCTCGATACTTTCTTTTAACACAGTTTCGTTATTTTTGTACACCGACACGACTCCTTTAACTCTCTCATATTTTTGGTGCACATCGTTAAACGCTGCTTCCGTATTAGTTAGATGAAGGTTTGCAGCTTGCAGTTCTTCCTGCAATTTTGCCTTGTCTTGTTCGAAGCTCGTACGATCTCTTTCCCGCTCTGTGAGCATTCTGCTAATCGACTTTTCGTATTCTTCCATTACAACCCTAAATCAATGTTCATATTTTATTCAATCTAAACAGATTTATTTTGAGCAAGTCACTTACGTCATCTGGTTCTTGGTTTTTATTTCCTGTGACACTTGTGCCTGTAGTTTATTAATTTTTTCTTGAAAGCTTGCTTTCTGTCTTTCTAATTCCGCTTCCTTTTCTTTCTCCTGCTTCTCTAATTTTTCCTCGAGCTGTAACACCGTCGTTCTTACAAGTTCAAGTTCTTTACTCATATCTACATGATCAATAAGTGGTACGTCGGATTTAGGCTCTTCTGCCGGTTGCTCCTGAAAAAGTTTTCTTCTTAACGCTTATCTCGTGATCGAGACACATTACACGAAATATGCTTGGCAATAACAATTGGAAATACAGACAATAGTAAATGGATTTTTACTTACAATTTTTTCTTGAGCTTCCTCTAACTTTTGCACTGTTGCGTTAGGAAGAGGACTATATAAAAGTAACCTGTCTATAGCTGCTATGGCAGGATTACGTTTTGGTGTACCAACATCGGGAAGTGGCGATTCGTTCTTGCCATTTTTCTCCTCGTTTATCGTTTGGGCATTTCCTTGAGGCAACATGCTGGTGTTTGATACCAACGGGTCGAATTTGATATACAAGGATTCTGTCCTAAGGCGATTGGTATGCGTAGAATTACTTCGTGCTAACAAGAAATCAAATGACGAAGGATCTTGAAAAACTGAAAACAATAACGTTCATATAATTTAATACAGGAAAGTTTCACGAGCTTACAATATAACTTGTACTTACTTTCGGGTGTTGCGTTGACAAATTGTTCTGTATCGTCTGTGAGCTCCAATAAAGGATTAAGTAGCTCATTAGTAACCTTTTCCACCGTAGACTTCAATTCATCAAAATACGACTGTTCCTTGATCAGTGACAGCGTAGTGCTTTGTCGTTGAGGCTTAAATTCTTCGTATTGCTCTTCATCTGGTTCCAAATGTATATCCGCCTCTTGCAAAGTAAGCGTACGATCGAGCTCTTCTTCACCCGAGGTGTCTCTTTTAACAGCACACGTCGCAGCTGCACTTTCCACAATATCTTTTTCCTTCTCTACAATTACAGTTTCTGGTGAATTACATTGGTTTTCTACAACACAGGTTTCATCGCATATTTCTGCTTCCGATACTTTCTGTATTTCATTCGATACCACGTTGTCCTCTGTTTCTAAATCTTTCTTATCGGTATTCGCCTGCAAGTTCTCGTCTTCAACTTCCGATGTTTTTGGTTCTATAATAGTGGTATTATTTATTAATCGTACGTCATCTTCTTTATCTGACGCAATAAGATTATCCAATCGAGGCGACTCTTGTTCTTTGACAATTTCGTTCTTTCCTGCTTCAAAGGAATTATTTACAGCTGTTTGCGACAATACACACAATTCTTGATCGGCATTGTCGGGAGGCGACAACACCGATGCATTTTGCTCAGGCTCCGATAAAGCTCCACTCGGTTCTTTCGTTTTAGTATCTTCTAATGGCGACGATATACTGGATATATTGAGTAACGAAAGATCCGCGTGTAGCGCTGACGAGGATATGGACGGAACAGAAACTTGGGTAGGACACAACTGCGGATCTTGTAGAGGTAATGTTTCGGAGGTGCAATCTACTGCCTGCTGTTCATCAAGCGCGATTACATTGAAAGTTGTGTCACCAGGTAAAACGGTTGTTATGTTCAGCTGATTATCATTCACATTACTCGTTGGCAGTGAATCCTTTGCAATGCTACTCGCAACGTCGCACGTTCCAAGCTCACTCACTGTATTATCGCTTTCCTGTAACGGAACATGCTTATCGGTCGACTCTTCTACTTGCGGTGAAATTCTAGTTGCAGGGTCTACTGCGTGCTCTTCCGCAGGAGGACACGAATTCACAAACTGTGAATCTTGAACGGGAAATGTGTTATTTAACGGTTCCAAAGTGAGCGTTCGACTCGAGGACGCTGTCTCTTGCAATTGCAGACTCGTCTCAGTCACTTGTGTCTCATTATCGATATTGTCCAACAAATCTTCGTTAAGGGAGCAATCGTTTGTTGGAAACGTTGTCTCGTCTATGGCCGATGCAAAGGTCTGATCTTGACTGAGATTTTGACTTTCGTCGTATTCACTTCCCAGGTGGATACCTGCGCATCCGAGGATCAAATCCTCTACTCCAGGTATATTGGAGTTGACGTATGATATATCTCCGGTGTCATCGGGAGTTTCGGATTTCGAATCGGGGCATATGCCGCTGCTGCTCTTAGTACTGAGAGTGCTGCTGAGACTATGGAAACTGCTGGCTGACGAAAGACTCTCCCGAGCCAAGCAGAGATTTTCCTTGATCGACTCTACATCGGCGAACTCGCGGACGAAACGAACTTTAACCTCATGCTCCGCTGTCTTCGGGACAGTCACAGGATCGTTGCCGTTCTGAAAGTTTAAAAAAAGAAACCACATTAAGATACTTTACATCGTTCCTCCCTTTTAAATGAAGAATCCATCAAAACACATAATCGCCGTTTATTTTTTTCGTTTTCTGATATAATTTTTAATATACAGCAGAAATGTTCCGTGTCCGCCGACGTCTTTCGATGAAAAAAGCTTTCTGTGACTTTTACTCGCCACAGAGCTCTATGGGCAATCGCGCAAATCCGCGTGTTAAGGAAGGTTTGACAGAAAACGCCTTCGAAAACGTGTGCGGCGCATTATACCGTTGGCGTGGGCGAGGGTGACGTTCTCGGGCTCGTGGCACGATGCAGAAGTTTATGGATATACTCCATAACTCGCGTGAGTCGCAACCGATGTACAATCTGCGAAATGTCAACGCTTACTGACGACTCTGCCCGCTACATCTTTGTTAAGTCAGCTGACTGAGATCTGGCGATTTTCGTCGGAAAAAGAAATTGCGCAATCGCTTCACGCCTCGCTCGGTCTAATTATAAGACATCGAGAGAGAAAGGTTTCGGTTGTGCCAGTTCCGCTCGCTTTTGCAAGACGGCGACAGCTACGGAAGTATCTGCCTGCGTAACGCTACAGCTGTTCTATACGGGCGAAGAGACGCTGACAATCGTTAATTTGCAGCAAAGTGCGACATAACGGTACCGTTGTAAGGTGCGGCGATTAAATACAGAATAGTATCAAGCCGGTATAAAGTTGGGAGACTACGAGAAGAGGGGAAAGAAAAATCACAGCGAAGTGAAGAGACGTAAAATTTCTCGATAACGTTCGACTACCGTTGCATTCGTATAAATTAAGGCTATTTGACTGCGAAAATAAAGGAAAGACCATTCGGAACTATTCGATCTCAAATTTCGATAAGTTAGCACCCGATTTTTTAAATTTTAATTTCTGATCGTTAATCAGCAGAACTCTATAAAGTATTGGGAACTCAAACTCCTCAAAAAGAAGCGGGAACTCCAGTCAGAGCTACAAAATTTTTAAGTTGGGGTGCAAAGTTAACACACGCAGGAAAGACAATGTTTTGTATACAACGGAGGAGCAAGGAACATTCCAACTTTCTGGTTGAGAAATAATTGAGGGGTAAATCGCTGAGGGTATTGTGGTGTACAGATTTGAGGCATTACTGGGTATTTTTGGGGGCTTTAGGCCTTTTTGCTGGGCATTATGATAAAATAAGACAATGAAATTAAGTAATGCCTACTGGGCATTAGTACTTTGAGTTTTTTTTAAATTTTACCATAGATTACGTAGTTTTCAGGATAAATTTTAAGAGAAAATTCTCTCCGCGTGGGCGTGTACACGATTTTTTGATCAGCGGTTTACCCTTCGGAAATATTTTCAAACGATTCTGTTTTACGCGGTAAATTGGCCAACGCATTACTATCGAGCAATTATCCTCGCGTGGCACGACTACGTGCAATTAGGGAAATAATGATTGCGCATCGTGAGATTACCGTTGAAAGAAGATTTCCCATGATTTGTCGACGAACCTACACTTTTGACTGTCCCTGACGCACAACGTGGTCCCATATTTACACGCGGATTCAAGGAACCCCACGGTGTAAGACGGTCTCACTTCTCCTCTTATGTTTATACCCTTGACACGATTATTCCGCGCCGAAGAAATATACCGCGCACGTACGATTTTGAAACTAACACAGGCATTTACACCTTACGCCAAACGCTCTCGACACGACACGGCATACGCCAAGTTTTTCTTTCATATTTTGAACGGTCTCGCTCTCCTCCTCGAATACCAAGCGTAGCTCACTATTGCCGCCAGTAAAACATACGGTATGACCGATTGTCGCAGTCGACAAAATCTACTCGCTAACATTGCTTTACTTTCAGAAGTGGAAATCGGTGGCTCGCATCGCTAGAAGGGGCCGGCGAGAAGTACAAATCAATCTTTCCGGGAATAAGGTCGCGAGACGAAAAGTACGGCGTAAAAAGTGACGATCTAATTTGCCACGAGACACGAGTCTCTCGCGATCCTTATTCGGCGTGCTCTTGACATCGTCGAGATTACAACGCAACCGCCGGAGTGACTCATTCTCATATGACCGCGCTAACAGACGCTTCATCACCATCTCGGGGTGTGTCTCTCTCATCCCTCCGAGATAAGCAGTCCTCTCTCTCTCTCTCTCTACTTCTCAACACGCACTTGAGTGCGGCACTACTTTATGCAAGCGACGATTCCAAGGTTTCTTTTTTTTTAATGCATGCAACGCAAGCAGAAACTTTACAAGGGACATCAACGGGCGATTCTTATCGCATTTGTATTACGTCATTATGCCAGCTCGGATATTGACCTCTGGAAAAAAAAGGACTAAAAGAGGTATCGATTAACAGACGAGTATTATCAAATGATTACGAAATTAATAGAAAGTCACAGAGATAATATATAAAATGAAAAATCGACAGGTTCGCGTGGTCTGTAAGATAAAGTCTGTAAGATAAAGTCAATCGATAGAAGAGAGCGTATACGCTCGGTTAAAGGAGCCATCGTTAACGAGAACGAGCGGAGAAGTGATAGCGATAAGAAGCCTATACAAAATGATAGAAATAAAAACACGAGGCAATGAAAGAGAGCGATTGATAAAACTGTGCAGTCGCAAATCGAGTCTCTCTCTCTCTCCCTCTCCCTCCCTCCCTCTCTCTGAATCGATCGAAATGCACGGCACCTATCGCAGTGACATATTTCCGAGGGCGCACGTCAGAACACACGACGAGACGTTCTCGCGGGACGTCTGTGCCAATCTGTGCCAGGGAGGAGAGAAACGGGGCTCCCGTTTCGCAAAGACGGACCCGAAACGAGGGCCCGTGGCGGGAGACGTGTCTCTCGTCGAAATTCTAATATTAGCCCGGCGCGTTCCTAGTCGATACTCCAGACGTCTCACCACTACTAACACCTCTCGCCACTAGCAGCAGCAGCAGCAGCAGCCGTAGTCGTAGTCGTAGTCGTGTCGGGCCGACACACACTCGGCGCGGCGCGACGCATGTACGTGCATGTGCACGCGCGAGAAGCCGACCAGGAGGAAGAGAAAGGGACAAGTTAACGGGGAGAGATAGCCGTCTCACCTTTTTACAAACTTTAAATTAGAAATGCTGCGGCAGCGAGGAAAACCTCACACGGCGTCGTCGCGCGTCGACCGGACTCTCGGCAGAGGCTGCACCGCGAGTAACATCGCCTCCACCATGCCACGATGCTGCGTACTAACACTAGCTGTGTGGTGGGAACAGGATTCTCGGCCATCGAGCCGCGTAAGGGCCGCGCGACCGGACCGCGTAGCGCAATCTGGCGCGATAGCGACACACTCGCTAATGGAACGCCGCATGATAAGGGGCTCGATTACCGGTTTTGGGTGAGTTCACTCACTTTTTGGCGCTGGTCTAGGGTGTAGCGTGGAGTAGGGAGTAAGGGAGAGCCCTAACTTGTAGCTTTTGGTGTAAGGGAGCTGAAATACAGGCATAATTTTTTAAATATTTGCAACACTGATTGATGGCATTTTGATTCACCGAGAGTTAGGCTGATGGCAGAGAACAATCCGTAAACGCTTAAGACTGTCTCAGTCGTAGACGTAGGGCAAGGCTACTG